TCCCTGACGCTTCGGCCTCACTCTCCCGCAGCCTGAAAGCACAAACGCGCCTTCATCAAGATGCCGCTGCCACTGCCGCATGCGATGGATGCTACTCTGACGCAAGGTCTCGTTGCTGTCGAAAGGGGGCCAGTTCTGAGACGAGGCGGCCGAAAAAACACTCACTGTGCATCATGCAGCTAGAACCATCATCTTCCACTGAGCCTTCAAAATGCCAGCTATCTGACAATGGGCGCTTCTCGCCCGGTGTCACTCCAACATGCTCCAATTTTCAACTTCAGCAAACCCCATCTGAATGCGGCCTCGATTCAAATATGCTTCTCTGATTGTTGCCCTCGGTCATGAATACCTGGTCTTGACTATCGGCAATTTGCAGTAGATGCTTTGCATCAAGCAGGCTAGCACAACGCAACCTTGCTACAGCCGACATTCCAAAGGAAGTTGACATGCTGACAACTAAATGGACTGGGTAAAGTGAAAAGCCCGACCTACCACTTGCATCACAAAATCCTCTGTGGCCCGCACATGTTGAGGCACCCTCTCACGATAGACGTGCTGTAAGGCAGTAAGCAGAGCGGGCATGATCTCAGTCTTGTCCTCTGCCTCAGAAGCAACTGCTGCAAGCCAAAGCTTCTGGGGCCAGCAGCTGTCTACAGCTTGTCAGATCCTTCAGCTTTGACCCAAGTCGCGTCATGTCAGGGATGCACCCTATCCAGCCTCCTGACCGAAGGAAGTATGGATTGCTGCGGGGGCTGTGTGACCACAATCATAGCAGCTACTTCAATGGCAAAGGGAGTGGCATAATGTTGTATAGCTGCAGGGTGCAGCGTGATCGGTAGGGCAGCAAATAGCAGCAGCAGCAGCAGCAGCAGCAGCAGCAGTCGCAGCAGCGGAATCAGCATCAGTTGTGTCAGTAATAGATTCGCAGCAACAATGGCAGCAGCACAGGCAGCTGTAGTGGGGTGGAGAAACACGACTGCCAGAAGGCTGCGAGCGATAACCAAAATCAGAGCAGGTGAGAAAGCATGGTATCTCAAAATGCTCGCCAAACCAGTCTACTGACTTTCTCAGGCGCAGCTGCCCTGACGTCGCTGTCTGGCACCCAATTCAGGTACTCTTCCTAAGCTGCCATTATGGGCTGTCAACTATAGCTTCCATGACATACAATGACCTACATGTAGATTGTCTGGTGGAAGTTAATTTCTGGTTACCCTTGAATCAGTGTTCCAGCGCGGGCTGGTGTAAGCTGGAGCACATATCTGCGTGCAGCAAAGTGTCGGGATGGACAAACGAGTAGCTGAAATCCCGAACGGGCACGCCCATCAAAGCTGTTGCACCATCAGGCAAAACTGAATCTGCCACGAAGTACAAGTCGTGATTACCTCACATCAGCAGGCCCGGCGAACCCCAGGCAGAAGCCCATACCAATTTGTTGAACAGCCTAAGCTACTGGTGGAATGTGTCGAAACGGTATACCATGCCCGACTTCATGTTGCCCGTCACGGGCACAAAGAGAATGCAAGTCCAAAAGCACTAGCCAAACGAAGCCTACTGTGTGGGCTGCTGGGGGCCCCAACGCTCAATATAAGCCCGATTCACCCAGTCATTCAAGCGCTGTAGCAGAGCTGATCGCCGCTGTTGCAACAACAAACGGCGCAATGGCGGTGGTGCAGATGCTTGTCTAGTGGTGATCTCTTCGGTAGTTGTGGTTAGAACCATGAGGGCATCCATCAAAAGGAGTGTGAAACAATCTCAGTTGATCTACGGTCGATTTGATGATGCTTCTGTGGATATTTCAGCTGCCAGCTGCCAGGGCACCCATCAACGCAAGCACGTTTCTCGGAAAGCTCCAGGTGAGGTTTCGCACGAACTGCATGACTTGCATGCCCTCTGTCCCACGGTCCACCTTCCAAGTCTTGCAGCTTCATGCACAAAAGATACATGCAGTCCATGCAGCGCATGTTGCGCATGTTCGCCTGGGGGAGATCGTCCTTTTGAGAAGGAGCAATGTATCGACAATGTTCCGTTGAGAGGTAAGCCATGCGTCCCTTGATGTTTGAGCACGCATGTCAACTTTGACAAGGTAGTTGCAGAATTCGTTCCGTGCTCGACTCTCTGAGACTAGGAAACAACTATAACTAGCGCAGTCATTGCCAAATGCTTTCCTGTGAACCACTCCGGGTCCGAGGCACGTAGTCACCCATAAAGACCAGTGCAGTGCGCGCACCACCGCGCCAAGTCCATGTGCTCAGGTCAACAAGACCGGTCCTGTTCAAAAGGAGCCCTGCCGTAATCTCCCGTGGCTATAGCTTACGCACAGCCCCTACAATGTTGCAGATTCAGCAAGGACTCGCTGTCAAATCTAGAGAGGAAATTTCTAGACTCGGGCTAGAATCTTTTTGCGATCTTGGCGTGCGTCCTAAACAAAATGAGTCTGATCCATCTGCCGTTGAAATCAGCGCAAGTATGTGGCTGTCTGGGCCACCAAAACGAAAGGCAAACATGACAATCAACTCACACAAGCCATAAGAATGCTACCTGGTAAATAGATAGAACGAATTGAATTGTGCGGGCCTGTTCACCCACTGCTCCGCACAGTGGATGTCACCATGGAGGTCGCCGATTATCCAAACCTCCTCGACAAAACTGGAAGTTCTTGAGTATCACACCTACGTACTTTACATCTGTCAGTGACAACCCTCTGCATGCAATAGTATTCTTGCAAATGTCCTTCAAACTGAAAGTGACTCCACCACATTGTAGATTGTTTCTTTCCACACTTTCTCTAGTGCGACAACTCACCGCCCCCATAAAGCAGCGAATGCAACAGTGAAGTGGGTGGGCTTACGATGGCTACGAAAAAGCATGCCGCATTTAAGCTACACTGCTCTGGATCAAGCTATTTTGGCACAGTAGCCTTTGGCATTTAACCCGAGCTGGCTTGGCAATTATCCCATGTCAAGGTTGAGCCTTGAAACGGAAAGCAGGCAATTTAGAAAGGACACACGTATCATGATGGTCACAATGAAATGCCAGTACAAGGAGTAAGATCCGGGGTTGCCCCTACTCAAATCCCGTCCCTCTTCCACCTGCCCCGACTCGCCCCGACAGTCTTCACACTTTTTGACGTGGTTTGCTACCACTGGCTCCAAGACATATCAACTAGCCTGTCTCCTTCTTCCAGAATCTCTTCGCCAATAGTTTTAAGGCACCAAACTTCAATTGAAGCTGGAAAGCCAAGCAACCAGAAGAATTATACATGGCCCATATTGGTAGAAGTTGCGCAGTCTCTTATAGAAGTACAAGCAATAAAGTAGGTATCAGTATCATGTGATATCATTCAACCTCCAATGACGATTGTTCTACTTTTGGTTGCTTCTGAGCTGTCCCCCTAAAGGTTGTCTTGAAATGATGTTGCCCACGCCAGCAAGACGGTCGCGTGCACTGTCTTTGGGACAAAGGAACACAACAGCGGTGAAGATGCGTAGCTGACTCCGTGAACTGCCGCTAAGTGGACGCCATATCCAGGAACCCCCAATACCACAGTAGTTCCCATTTGCGTTTCCATTATCCCTATATAACCATATATAACCTCCATATAACCGGCATAATCCCTTATAAAACCCCTACACAGCCTTTTTCAAAGTGACCCGGCCCGCCTCGATGTTTTCGAAGCCGGCTGGGGTGAACTGCTGAAGTCCCCTTCAGTCTGGGAGTAATGGAAAAGAAAACGGTAGCTACTATACTATATAGGGGTTACATTGGGGTAGTATAGGGATAAGGGAAAAGAAAGTGGAAACTACTATATTAAATACCATGGGAAAGTAGCGTGCCGTCAGAGCTCCTCATGCAGGCAAGAAGGAAGTATCGGGCAATGCCCTTGAGGATCTTTTCCGCGATTCAACCAGAATTTGACGGAGTTGTTTTGAACAAGTCTGTCATATGCTCCTTCATGCAACCCACGCTTGCCAATGCTAAAGCCTTGCATCAGCAGGATAGTTCGGTAATAAAAACATGTCTTTTTTGAAGGGCCGCAATTTAGCGCAGGGGCAATTACAGAATGTTATCTGCCTGCACGGGGCTTTCAACAGCAAAGCACGTCGCTTTGGGGTTGTGGGGCTAGGGCCTGATCCAGGCTTTTGAGCTCGGAGCTCACATGCTCCCACGGGTGGGGTGGTACCAGGCGTTGCAAGCAACTGAGTCCATTTACTTTGACCAAGCCCCCACGTACGCACTTAGAATGGGTTCAGGTCGCAGTATCTTGATGGACCCGAATCCCTGGCTCCACGCTAGGAGCGCTTATGCCTATGAAGCGCAAGCTGCTTTGGGCATCCACCACCATGAACTTGATAGCTGCAGGGCACTTTGCAAAGGCCCCTGTGTTGCTTGTTGGGGCTGAAGCTAGCTTCATCGCTGCCAAGATGCTGCACAGTGCTGCACAAGGCAAGGTAAATCAGCCTCGGATGGGCCCAAGCTTCAAGAGTCTGTAAGCTCCTTCTTTTGGCCTCCGTCCCTTCAGCATGTCACAAGAAGACCCGTAGTGGTGCATGGCCAGAAAAACGCGATTCAGGATTCGAGGAATCATGAATGCATTAGCTGATGCCTGCAACAGCTTCTCGCATGCTTCCAAAGACACGTCTGGCTCTTTCCAAATGAATTGCCTAACACTAGCTTCTCCAGCATTGCGAAGGCCTTCCTCCCTCGCGATGGTTCCTGAACTTGCCACGGAACAGCGGCAGTCGCCAGCCGCTGCGCCTGTTTGGCATGGCATGCTACAGGTCGCCTTGGTCTTGGGGCACGCTGTAAGCCAGACGTGAGGCTGCGTAAGTCTTGTGCAGGAAGCTTCATGTTAAACGGGCAATGAATGAGAAACGTACCTGCTTTTTCTTGCACAACCTTGCACCCACTTCGCCCGGACAGCATTGCAGAGGAAAGGAGGTTAGATTCTGGAAGCGCAAGCACAGTCAGAAGATGATTTCACCCTCGGCCAAGGTCTGTGCTTTCCGGGTCCAGGCCCAGTGCGCGAGCCAAGGCCTCTCTTACCTGAGATCTTCTTCCCCTCTCATGGAAGTTCCGGGCAGTTCCATGCAGGACGAGTCCACCAAAAGTATGTTCTTGGAATTTGCCTATGCTGAGGCTCAACTTGCAAGCAGCGATCGTGGATTCAGCTTCGGCATGCTTTTGCGTCTACTGCATTTTCTTCTTGAAGTGAGCAGGAGCCAACCCTAAATCCTGATGTCAATCCAAGTAGCAGAACAGCACTCGGGAAACTACTACAGTAGGGTGTCCACCAGCTTCCGAGATAGGGAGAATCATTTTCAGGCCCCGGTTAGAATCCGTTCTCCTCAGCCTAGAACAAGAGGATGATCAATGATCATGATCATTGCTCAAGCTAGCCGGGACTATCGCCGAACAAATCCTTGACAAATCTCACTGTTCCTAGGTCTGGGGTTCCTGTCAAGCCGCGGATAACCCTCCAAAGACCGTAACCGGGAGCCTCACAGCCCCAGGCCATACAACCTAACTCTAACTTCGAAACCCCCTAAATGTTTTAAACTCTATGTACGCTCATCTGAAAATCAAGCCCTCAAAGCAGTCTGGCCGCATCATAAACCTTTGTGCAGGTCTGGACAGGAAGGGAGATCTCCTCGTCACTGCCTAAGACAGTTTTAAAACGAAAGGGCCTCTTTTGGGGCAGCACATGGGAAAGCTTAGAGTCTAGAGCTTAGAGAATGCGCGCTCATCCTGTTCAAGCAAGCGTGTCATTCCTCCAGTGGTAACGGCTGTCTCCACAAAGAGTTCATAAGTGGTGGGGTTTCTTCCAGCTAGAAACGCTATGACTTGAAAACCCCCGAGGCTACTTATTGGAAAGGGAATGGCCGCTGTTAGGAGTCGACCTATGGCGTGTGGGATCATCAAAATTTCTTGAACATGTTGGGTCCCCCCGCTTTCTAAGATCTTCATGGGTGGTGCAGAAACTGTCGAACAATACCACACACTGGCTTTGATTTTCCATGCCTGACCACGTGCTCACGAAGGCCATGACCAAGCGTGCTCAAAAGAATCACGGAGGCAGGCATGTCTTCAGCTTGGCCTTTACATTAGCTGTCTCCCCGACTAGAATTAAGGGGATGGGCCAAAACATGCCAAAACGCAAGTTTTATGCACATGCTTGGCATGTTGGACCTCGGGCCACTTGCCATCAATTCTGATCCGGGCATGCTGAAACAAGATCTTAATCCATGTAGCGGAGCACGCACGCATATAGCATGATCGCGGAGGTTGTATATCGAACTTTGGTATCTGGCTTGGGGCGTGCAATGAATTTTTTTCGAAAGGCAAAACGAGGCCCATGATCCAGAAGGTCTGGCCGTGTTCTACACCAAACATAAAGTGAAATCCCGCTTTCGAAAACCTTCAGGTCTGTAGCAGAGTTAAAAGGATGTCCTTATTGCAGCAGACTTCCTGTGGCTTTGTTCATGGTGGTCAGCATTACAACGGACAAGCCTTCAGCAAGGCTCCCTTCACTCCCTTGCAAAACTCCAATGCTGAGGTCCCAACCGTACACCTTCATGGTGATCATCTTGAAAGTGGTGCTGAACTGCCTGCCCTGCGGCATTGCGCCTGACGCCAAAGTGCAACAGCATCAACAGCTCTGACGCCGGCATTTCGAGCCAAGACTGGACTGTGCAAGAACCACATGTACGTCCGGTCTCTCTCCCAGCGCTCTCGAGTCCGGGCATCCACCAGCGTAACTACATGCACAGGACACCCACTCAGTTGCTATGGCTATCTCAGTCCGACACAAAGATTGCAAAGCAGTCTGCGCCCAGCATGGTGCCCAACAACCCAGCCGGGTGGTTGGTCTCAAGTTTTGCGCGTGCGGGTGAGGCTGCCCGACATGGAGTTGCCCGTGCTGTGCCTTTAGTGTCTTTACTTCTGGAGGAACTGGGTACGCATCTGAGCATGACCTTCCCGCAGCCTGACTTCAAGCCACAATTCGTGCCTGGTCGCACATTTTGCCAATCTGGGTGAAATACATGCATGCCTCGGTTCCAGTAAAAGACTTGGAGCGAGGCAAACTGCCTAAGGTTGAGCCACAGACCCATCAACGCTAAGATTTGCACCCATGTTGGCCATGATGGCCATTCTCTGCATTGCCTGCAAATTTTGTCATTTCACGCGCCCAACCATCGCTTTCGACAAGTGCCCGGGTCGTTCTAATTAGTAGACTTTGCCATTCATCTTGTCCCTGCCTCCTTCCGGTGCTCCCGGAGGGTGATTCCCGGCGAAGCGCTCCGCTGCCGCGCCGACACTGCGCGGAGGACCAATGAAATCAAGCTTTCTTCCGGAAATTGGGGGTCTGGTTGGTTGCGCACATATGATCAACCATGGGCTTGGGGGTTTTAGGCTTGTAGCCCTTTGTGCCCCCAAGCGCTCACGACCTTCAATGTCGGGCGGGACTTGTACAACTGTCCATCATTCCGATCTACAGCAGCCGCCACTTGCATCTGGTCCATGCATGTCCATGCTGTCCATGCTCTCATTTTGTAGCACGGCTCCACGGCCTTTGCCACACTCTTTTTCAAACCTGCTACTTTTACAGCTGCGGCGCCATGCGCACTCGCATTCTGTACATGTGCAGGCATGACTCTAAGTCGTGGCGCGGTCTTCAAGAATTGATGAGTGGCTTTGTTGCAAGCATGCCCACGCGGATCGGGAGGTATACCTACCCGGATCGGGCAACCTACATGAAGCTGTACTGCGATCTCATCGCCCCGTGAGGATGTGAATCCGTTGCCTCGCAGGTCATGGCAACATTGCGAAGCAAGTGCAGGGGACTTCTAGAGCATAGAACCAGACCCTGCCTACCGTGCATCAGAAGTGACAATATGTCCAAGGAAACGCCTGCTTATGCTGCAACGAGCCCTCATATTTACTTCAGCATTGGCTCAAGGTTTACGGCGGGAATCTGCGTGCTTCACAACTTGGCGAAGAAAATGGCTGAGACAGCCACTCCTTGAAGCCGCGCCTGGCAGATTACATTTGCATGCATCGCGTTCCGACTTGACTGGATGTTGTTGTCTGCGGACCTTCCCCTCTGAAGAATCCAAGAACATCAATCGTGTCAGTTAACACGGCCATGTCAGTCTCTTTTTCATTTTGAATCACAAGTTGCTCAGGCATCAGGTATGCATCGGCCACCGGCCCAGTCAACTATTTCCAAAGCAAACAGCCCGGAATTAGAGTGTAGTGTTTAGACTCTTTCATTCTAGCACGAGCATCTTCAACAAACGTTTCAAGAACATGAACAGACCCCAAACGATCTGTATACGGGAACCCTCTTGCATCAAGCAACCCTCAAGTTGGAGCTCCTTTGGCATTGAGGTCCTCTATAATGTGTCCGGAGCCGGGGCCCTAAACATGTAAGTAGGTTTTCATCCGCCTTTGACTCGCATGCAGGCCATTTAGACTGCTTTCGGAATCAGCCCTCTAAACTTCAGTCAGAAGCCAGAATCCAAATCTGTCTGGAATCTGAGGCTGACCAGTTTTATATGATTACGAAGCCTGACTGAAAACCTTAACATTCGTGCCCCAAACCATCTGGGCAAAGGGGGGAAACCAGCAGGCCTCTGGATCCTGAATAAGGCGCATTGCCTGGAGGTCCTCTTTTATCTGTTTGCCTTGGACCCCTGAAATTTTATGCGCCCAGACCATCCTTTTTTTGCATCATTCCCCGGAGCCCTCAGAACCTCGGGAGGTTTTGAGAGACTCTTGTTATTATTGCGAGTATTATTGAGGGTGCTCTGATCCCCATTTTGGCTGTCCCTACAGTCCGACGTCAGAAACTGCGGAGCTTCGCACTTTAAAGCTGAAGCGCTTCTGAACCACCCCTGGCACGCAATCGAAACTCTATCGAAATCAATCGCTTGAAAACTGCCTTTGCGGGAGATCCACTGAACCCTGCTGAACCCCAAGCTCTTTTTATGTTATTCCTGACAGGGAGAAGAATACCAGACATGCAGTCCTGCTGGAAGCGCTGCACGCCCTGCTTGCAGATGGGACACCTGGCTGGCTTTGGGGCTACGTGGGCTATTCAAGGACCCCCTCCAAACATTGAGTCCCTTTTCAAGGGTTCCTCAAAGCAGGCCCAAGCTCAGTGAGAGAAGTGCGGGGTTACCCACAACATACAAAGCTCCGGAATGTTTTCTCCCTTCTCCTTCATGCTTATTTGGCCACCACGCCTCGGTTTGAGCTTCTCTGATTCATAGATTAAGAGGGTCTGGAATATCCCTGGGCTTCCTGATGCAGATCACTCTTTATAAAGAAGCCAGCTGGCTTCTCAAACCGATCTCGCTAAAGAATCAACGTCCTCCCAAACCGCCGGATCAGGCCTGGTATCTGGATGGAGCACGCCTTCCTTAGTAATTACAAAGGTAAGAGAGTCAATGTCAGGTATAATTAAGTTCTTCTGAAGAAGAGGCATAAATCGATTCGGTCAACTGTAACGCAACTGGCCTTGGAAACAGGCTTGCCTTTCAGGAACTGTCAAGCCCCAAGATTTCATCTGCACTGCTTGCGTCGAGCTGCAGCCACTTGATAGCGTTGAGAACACCACCAGCATACCTCGGTCTTACTTTCGAGGCTTGATGCTCTTGTTGCTGTCTGCAGCACAGAAAAAATGAGTGTGATGCAAATGATGCATTCCCTGAATTAGCTGCGGTCCGTGGCGGCCAAGAATACTGTTACTATGCCAGACCGGGGCGCTAGGAGATGTCCACAAGGTAAGCACACGGTGTCTGCAGGGGCCTCTCAGGTTCACGATATGCAGGAAGATCTTCTGCTTGAGCTTTCGCTGTCGAGGCTGCGCTTATCTAATACGTGTAAGAAGTGTTCCTTATGTGATTGTAAATATCACCTCTTCCAATCCAAACACTGCAGCCAGAATCCCAAACTAAAACTCGCTCTCCTAAACTGACACCCAAACCCAGACAAACCTGGCGACACACGATGCAGGGTCCGGTGGAAGGAGCTGGGCGCGACCGAGCCTAGCAGGGCGAAATCTTGGCGTGTCATTGCAAACATGCTATCATGCCCGCTAATTATTTTCAATATTGACTAGTTGTGGGCCGTTTAGTGTACCTGGCACCTTTAGAAGTAAGTCAATGCAGTTCCGTGGCCAGTACATGGCATTGGCCGCATTAGCTACAGAGGTGTACCGCTGTCAGTAATGAGCCTTCATCGAATTCACGATCTCGGGTCCCCGCGACGCCCGACAAACAGGATTAGTTGCCAAAGCCAAGCAACAACTGCAATAATTGCAATATATGGTGATGTCTAGAATCACACTTCAGTGATGCCTTCTGCGCAGGGGTCAGTTGGAAGGGGCTGGAACGTCCACCCTGGATCTAAGGAAATAGGCCCCAAGACAAATGAAACATCTGAGACCCTTTCTATCCCTTTCTAGCCAGGCGGAAAGACGAAAAGACGCAAACTTGACAAATCTGAACTTAACACTTTACACAATATCTGGCACAAGTCAAAGCGCAAACGGCACTGTATGCCGGTGACTCCTACCTTCAGTGGGCCTGGAGGTCCTTGCAACATGCTGGCGGGCAGGTTTCCAAGCTGGAGCAAAAAAAATGCAGCCAGAGCGCCGGCCGAGTGCTAAACACTTCCGAGGCCATCTCAGGCACCTGGGGCGATGAAGCAGATAGCAGCTGCAGTGATCTCAATCGCACTAATGCCGCAGTGATAAAGCAGGAGCAACTACAGCACAAGGCCATGGAAAGACAAGCAGATGTACTATAGAATGACAACAGTGGGCATTCAAAGTGACTTACGGTCAAACGCTCTACCTCCGTTGTTGGTAGTTTTTTGGATGCTTGCAACCCTAGAGTAATAAATTGGCTGGGAGAACGCAAGCCGCAGGATGGCACGTTGCGCATACTGCTTGTGCTTACACGGCATGGCTGTCGGGCGGGAGGGTGTTCAGGGGGAAGAGTGGCTCACCAAGCAACCTTGCAAAGCACAGCAAATCTCTCGCCCTGAGGCCGGTACTACAAGGCTCCGGCGAGTACTTGGTGATGCCAACGAGCCAAACTGAACATGTGGCCAGAATCTTTCAGACTGTGTGTGATTGTGGAAGTGCAGCTGTAGAGATTTGAGGCGCCACGGATTCAACCATCATTGGGGCTGCAGGTCCAAGCGCTACCCTGATTAGGCCGAAGCTCATATCGCAACAATGCATTGCCTCATCCAACAAATTGAATTCAAAGCAACTAAATGCAAACGCGGGCAACTCTGCTGCAAAAGCATGGTAATAAAGGGGACCTGTTGGGGAAGTGCTGAGTAGTGTCCAACAGCTCAGGCCACGTCCTGGGGCTCGCTGGACCGCTTGAAGCAGCACGTGCAGGCAGAGTTCCTCTCATTGAGTTCAGGTGAAAGGCAGGCTGCGAGCGTAACATGATTTGGCTTCTGCAGTGAGGCACCTCAGTCGCAGCGCCTGAGTGATTAGACTTGCTCTGATTTTTCATTTCATGTAAGGTTGACTCTACTGGCAGCTGCGGCTGCAGGCCATAAGAAAAGCCAATGCACGACCACAAAGCTACTTCATTTCAGGCAATCCTACCTAAACACACACAGCACGTGTTGCGAGAATCCCCATGATTGACCAATTTGTGACGACCCTGGAAAGGGCACCCCTTTCCAAGCCGAATCCCACTGCAAGCGCGTGCCTAACAACGTGCAAAAGCCACAAGGATTTGCCGTTTCAATTCGGCCGAGGCTCACAGGCCCCTGGCCCATGTCCCCACGTCCCAGCTGCGGCGACCGCAATATATCCAAAATATCCAAAACGTTTGCGACTTGGTGGGAGTTGTTTGTGTACGTGGCTTTGTAGGTTGCGAGCTATTACAAATATGCAATAGCTAGAGTCGTCAAAACTGAGAGGGTTTTTTGATGTTCTGCCCCTGATGAGAGCTGATCACATTATGGCTGGCGAGTCGATTGCTGCGTAGGCTTGTCAGCGGCATGTCCCTTTCTGTGCATGTACTGCTACATGCCCAGAGATGTCATGCAAATGCAATATCATGCAAGCATGCTCTTGAGCATTGGGCATTTGTACACATGGCCAAGCTCGAGCCCGACAAAGAGTA